AGTGATGATCCCTATTGAGGTAGGGACCGGTTCACTTTGGAGGGACCTGTTCAACGAAGCCGACAATGAAGTGCTTATGCGCACAAATCTGGATCTAGTTGAAGAACATCGCAGCAAGGCTCAGCTAAGAATAACAGCCTATCAGCAATGCTCAAAGAGGTTTTTCGACTCTAAGGTCAGAAGAAGAGACTTCCAGGTAGGCGACCTCGTTTTAATGGAAGTTCTTCTCGGTACTAGAGAACCAAGTGCGGGAGTTTTAGGACCGAATTAGGAGGGCCCATACCGCATTGCCAAAGTAATAAGACCGGGGACTTATCATCTCAAAAGGATTAATGGTTCTGAGTACCGCGAGCTTGGAATGCTGAACAGCTCCGACCATATTATCACTAATCCCGAACTCAATTTTTTCTTGTAAAGATTTTACTTTTCTTAATCTTTGTAAATAGCTAGTATATGATTCTTCTCTTTTGTAATCGTTTTTCCATGTGTATAATTCTGTTCGCATAAATTTGTACCAATGTTATTGTAAACAGTTAGAATGCGAGCTCGTATGAAACAGAAGATGCAAAAATTATAAAGTACTCATGAAAGGTAGAAAAAATGATGTCTTTATTTATAATGAAAGGGAAAGTACATAAGCAAGAAAGGGAAAGACTACAAAAGTGCATCATCAATCCTCGTCGCCAGGTCCCGAAGGGGCGACCTCAACATCCCAAGGCTGGTTGCTGACCGCTTGTTCGGGTGCAAGCTCCTTAGGGACGTACTCTAGATGCTCTTCTTCCAAGCCAGGTCCCTGGTTTGCTTCCTCGTCCTCCGCTCGCGCCATGGCAGTAAGGGCATCCCAATGCTCATTAGGGAGGTCGGACAGATCCATCTCAGAGTTCTTCGGCTGAAGGGCAAAGATGGACTGAATCGTCCATTCTGCAACCCTACTCTCGATCTTCGCCTCCTACTGCTGCATCTCTGCAGTTAGTGAAGTGACGCGACCTCGAGTGAAGTGGAGCTCGGCCTCAAGCGCTGATCGTTGCTTCTTAGTAGCCTCCTACAGCAAGCCCCTTTCCCTCTCTGCTTGTAAGATCCGCTTGGAGGTCGTCAACAGCGCCCAGTCTTTGTCGTCAGCCTTCTTGGTGAGTCTGGCCACGGTCCTTTGGAGCTCCTTCACCTTCTCGCTGCGTTTCTCGAGCTCGGCCTTCTGAAAGTCCACCGTGCGAAGTGCAGCATCCATTTCAGACAAATGCTAATTCGCCTGAGCGATGGACGAGTCTCTGTCTATTCGTGCGACCTCTAGTTCCCGCTTAAGCCACGCATTCTCTTCCCTCATCTCGACCAGTCCCTCAGTAGCCCCCAACTGGACCTTCTGCAGGGATAGGTGCATGGAGAGCAGGGCCTACATAACGAAGAGAATAAAGCTAGTCCTTTATATTACAAAAGAAAATATAAGTCCTTGCCGAGGGTAGCTCGTTTACCTGGCTTAGGTGCTGGAAGGAGGTGATCATTAGGTCCATAGTGCCGGAGGCCACGAATTGCTCAAAAGCTTCCGCAAGCCTACATTCTAGCAAAGCAAAGACTACCAGCTGCAGATGGTCTGGTAGTTGACACATTGACTCCAGCACGGGGGTGTCTGTGCCCACGCAGGTAGAGTTCCCTCCTCTGGTTCCTTGCTCGACCTCCTCTCGGGGACTGCGACCGCTTGTTGCCTTGTTTGTGGACCCCTGGGGGCAATGGAGATGCCGTTCGTGCCCCTAGGTGGCCCTCCCAAGTGGAACACTTGGTAAGGTTACGACCTCTCGGGCTGAACGCCCAAACCCTTCAGTTCAGACTCTCACTCTTCGGTCTGAATTTGCCTCCTCTTCTTAGGCCTTTGGGGCATAGTTTTCTGCTTTGGGCGAGCAGTCGAAGGCTGGGGAGCGCCCACAAGTCAGGCCGGAGCAGCTGTCGATGTCCCTCCAATAGGAGGACCGCTAGGAGCCGCTCCATCTGGTACGATGGCACCCATTCGGGGAAGGAAAATTGTCGTGGTCGCGGTGATTTAGGCACCTTGGGAGGCATGGTTGCTACACACGAACATCGTTAGTGAGACAGTTCGTTGCATGCGAAATCAAAAAGGCTAAGGTCAAGAAGCTTACTCGGTGTGGTCTCTAGGGTCGTTTCTGAGTTGAAGAAACCGTACCTCCGTAAATTTGCGGTTGTCACAAGCAATCTTGCGTCACGACTCTCTTCGAGCAGAAAGCTGAAGGTAGGGATCCTGTCTGGATCCTCGAGGAGCTCTAACTTGGTCGTTTTGTTAACTGTGAAGAAACAAAAAGCTCGTCAGGAAAGAACGAAAGTTCGCAAACTCAAAAGAAAGGAGGACCTACTTGGCTCCTGAAAATGGCAAATGTCATCATGACGAAAGAAAAAAAACTTCGTCTCATATGCCCCTACGTTGCTCGGGGCACTGTGTATTCCCGCTTCAATAGTAGGTCACTTGGAAAGATAGTAAGAATCCTTGTCCTTACTCTATTTTAGAATGTACGAGCAACTGAGCTCTAGCGCGGTTAGCTCGCCCAATCCATTCTTGCCGCACGCGATGTACATAGTCACGACTATCATGTACACGTTCGGCGTGAGCTGCAATGGTGCGATCCCGAAATGATTGAGGACCGACCTGACAAAAGGGTGGAAAGGGATCAGCCCTCAATTCTTGAATATGTTCTCAAAGATTGTAGCCATCCCTCGTGGCGGACTTCGAGCTGTGTGTGTCCTATCTCGAAAGACCTCTACGCTAAGAGCATATTAGTCTACCACCTTTTGGATCTCGTCGTCAGTAATTATCGACAGGATCTCTTGAGGGGGACCCTCCTCAGTCCTGGTCGTTGGGGAGTCCATTCTTCTACTGTCTGAAAAGAAGAGCAACATGCAGGGAATCACTCAGTCTTCGTACACTATTTCGTATGATGACGTGGAGGAAAAAGAAAATACTTCCGTAAACCCTAGAAAAAACCCTAACAGGATATCTTTAGAGCTACCATTAATGGCTCAATCCCAAAGAGAATATTTCATCTCCGATCAACTTCCGACAGACTATCATCGCACGACAATTATTGAAAACAAGAAAAAATAGTAAAAGTGGCAGAAGAATCATCCTTACCTTTTGAAATGAGAAGATTAGTCTTCTTGCTCTGGATATCAAGCGTGCACCAATCTGATAGGCAAAGAACCAAGGCTCACAAAAATCTCTTGCTCTCTCTGAGAAGATGAATACTGTGACATTGCTTGAAGTGAACTTGAGATTTTATAGTGAAGGAAATAGCACTTTGGTTTCTCGAAGTTAAATGACGTTTGGGCAGAAAAAGCATCTCACCGTTGATCGCGACCACGTGTCACAGATCAGTGAAGAAGAGCGACCGCCACGCTTTGAAAAACCAAATTGTCATTCTCTTCTGTTGAAACACTCAAGCGACAACACGTTCTCCCTCCTCCACATTAAATGCGCCCACGTTCGCATTTAATGCTCTGATAGGGAATGACGTTTCAGCATGGCTCGCATTTAATGCACATGGCTGGCATTATTGCATACAGGACACGTCTGTCAAAGCAAAAGGTACTTCATTAAATGTATCTGCTGCAAAAGTGCAACGAATAACATCTGAAGAAGTCGTTACGTACAACACTCTTCGGCTCATGTCTCATTGCGAAGTGACGTGACCCCTCGATCTTGTCTCGTGTCGACCGCGAGGTGACGTGACTCTTCGACTTGGATGTATATCGGTCACGAAGCAACACGATCTCTTGCCTTAAGCAAAAACTTCCGCAAAGTGCAATCAGGTCGTGAATCTCGGACGAAGATCAAAGTCATCGTCGTGGCACTGGATATGGTCTAATACAGGTCGCTGACCTTTAAAGTAAAGGCCATTTCAAGTCGCCTACATGAAAATGTTTCTTCGACCTCTTTACATCCAGGTCGGGTCAACCAGTGTCTTTAAACGCATCAAATCAAGGCATGATATCTAGTTTCCAAGGTTTGATTCTCAAACCTTAAAAACTAGAGGACTTATGTTATGCCTGGAAAAGTAGGGCTGACGCAGAGCCCTATTAGCATAAGTGGTCAAAGCTTTTAGGTAAGTCCAACAGCCATTCAGACGCAACCATGTGGCACGCTGACACAAGAGGCATGCTTCTGCCAGTGCAGTAGGTGTGCGCCAGGCTGGTGAAAGGTTGGAGGCGGTCCACGTATCCAACCCCTGCAAAAATCGAGTAAATCACTTGAGCATGTGAATAACGAGGTGCAAGGAAGGATTTGCACGGCAGTCTGACCCACTCCCTGATTTAGTAATCATTACCTCAATTCATTCCACCATAAATAGAGGGTTCATCTCCCGTTTGTGGGATTAGCTAATTTCTCTCTGGAATAGTATACATATTTTCTCTCTTTGTAATCACTTGTAAATTAGTTCGCTGAACGCGACCTAACCTCAGTATATCAATACAATATCAGTGGACGTAGGAGTCGCTTGTTTAAGCATCCGAACCACTTTAAACATCGTTCCTCATCTCTTATCCATTCTCATACCCCCATTCGCGTGTGTCTTACGAGTCAGCTCAGCATTTCACACGTGCGTTTAGATGGTGTCAAAATCAAGCATCAACATAAAGCATCCACGTCTGCCTTCAAGATTCTGAGATCTACCATTTTGCAATCTTTCTGAGCGACTTCCGCGATGATATGATATATAAGATTATGCATTTTAAATGTAAAATGATCACCATAATTTTCAATTATTTCTTGAAAAAAACACCTGAAAAATAATTCCTTTAAATATTGGAATCCAATGCCTTCCAAGTCTTCATTTTCGGTAGGAGTTGCAAGAAAACCATGTGCCATCCAATCACAAATCAGATAATCACTGTTAAAACAATAACCCTTGGGAAATAAGGCACAATATGCTAGACATATTTGCAAATGAGGTGGTAAATGATCATAACTCAATTTCAAGGCTGATAGGATGCTATTTCTATCATTATCTTGCACCCTTATAAGTTATAACACTCTCTTTAATTAGGGACCAATCACACATGTTTGTGTTTTGATAAAGTAGGGTGCCCAAAGTTTTCACTACTAAAGGATTGCCACCACATTTTTCCACAACTTGACCCCCAATTTCAATAAGTTCTGGATTTGCTTTCTTCGTTTCCTCTCTAAACGCTGATTTCAAAAACAACGACATACAATCCTTATGAGGAAGGCATGTTAAATCACACCCAGGAGCGGTGCCTGCTGTTAGTTTTGCAACTTGCTTACTACGCGTAGTAGCCACAATTTTACTCCCACATGCTTGCTGCTGCATGAATAAATTTTTCAAGTTTTCCCATCTATCAGAAATATTATTCCACACATCATCTAATACGAGCAAAAATTTCTTATCAACCAATTCTTCTAGCAAGCGGTTTTCTAACTCATCTGCTTCTAATTCAACATGATCTTGACCGGTTGCAGAAGAATAAGCTTCTTTCATCAACTTAATCATATCGAAGTCCGCAGGTACACTTACCCACATTTTTAGGTCAAAGTTTTCATCTATCTTTTTGTCACTATACACCAGTTTGGCTAGAGTGGTTTTCCCAAGACCTCCAAGTCCAACTATAGGAATTACATCAACCGTTTCACCTTCCTTGTTTGGTTTCATCAAAATGTCTATAATTTTTTGTTTATCAGAGTCTCGTCCAAGCACTTCGAAACTACCCATAAAGGTGTGGTTTATCTCCATCTCTCTTGAATAAACACGCCTTTGCTTATTCTTTTCGTATATAGACTTGATAGTATCTGCCATTTCATCTAAACTTCTTCTGGTCAATTTGATTTTAAGAAAATATTTGACGCAATTGAGTTTGCTTACCTGTCTAGCCAATATTTCACACTGCAGTTCATCCAACAGATCCTCGGCATCATACAACAGTTTGGAAAGCTTCGCCAGCCAGTCCTGCTGCTCAGCTCCTGTGCTTGTGCCCTGGCATTCAAGAGTACATCTTTGACATCGAGCAAGATTCGTTTGATCTTCTTTATTTCACATCTAATCCCGGACGACAAGCGTGTTTCTAGGGAAGTAAGGAAGTCTATTTCCGTGAACATGTTAGTTGCAATGCTAGACGGAAATGATTCAACCATGTTCTTTGAGAGGAAAAGGCAAGGGTGAAGATTTAGGTATTTAATTAGCTGTCTGAGAAGTGATGCTATATGGTGAACCAAGACAGCTTGGGTTCCGAGTTGAAAGGGAGCCAAGTAGGTGACGTAGCGTAAAAACAAGATTAGTATTCGACTATACCTTTAGGATTGATAAATAACTCTCAAACGTAAAAACTTAACTCATAAAGTTTTGAAGGAAATTCTGAAAAATATTCTATATGTTAAAAAAAAAAAAAAAAAAATTTATAGGGTGGTGACAGCCAACCCTAACAAGACTCCTAATTAAACAAGAAAATAAAATCCTAATTAAACACAAAAATTAATTAAAAAAAAGAATTCCTTACTATTAACTAATTATAAAATAAGAAAGGGTTATAAATTAAATAGGGAAAAACTTAAACAGTCCTAAAACATGCTGAAATAGTGGATTTTAGCCTAGAAAAAGATACCCAACTAGGGATCCAAGCTGCCACATCATCGGGCTCGAAATGAGCTTTCCATTGATATAACTGCCCGTTTGGGCTTCTGACACTCGACTCTTTACAGGAATTCATCTGCTAAACGTTCTACGTCAGTAGGGACTCTTGAAGCATAGCCCAGCAATGTTACTAATTTGACATACATACCAATCTTGAGATATACTTACACGCTATCATAATTTATTAATATAGTGAAATTGTTCAATTACATACTTGCATGTATTGTCAAATATATGCTAAACTTTTTATTTGATTCATTGCTATCATAATTTATTAACAATTAGTGTCTATCTTTCATCGTCAATTATCACCACTATGATGTATGATTTTAAGATGTATGATTTTAAAAACTAATGTGTTCTTATTTTATTGGTCGGTTTCACCACATCAATAAAGTGGGACAATAAAATTTGAATGAAATAGAGATAGCAGCGGGAACAAAACAACAATAAAGCAAATCACAGATAATAAACACAGAGAAAATAACATGCACGATTTACCCTAGTTCACCCAATATGGGCTATGTCCAGCCGACTCAATATTATTGCAATATTTTCTCACATCTCTTTCATTTACAATGAATGAATGAATTGCCCTATGATTTGCTATCACCCTCGTAACAAGAGAAAAATATGTTTATATACTAAGTTTAAGTGACAAAACCTAGTTTACAAGGATTCTTATTCCTAAGCCCAACCCAATAAGGAATGCGTCTGGGTAACCCAATAATGTTGAAGTAGTCGACAACTCCAACAAAATTGTCCCCTAAAAATATTTGTATGTATAATTAGACCCCTTCTTTATTGGATAATACTCCATATACAAACTATCTCATACAAACTGACTGTTTTAAGATGATTTGCTGACTTTAAATTAAAAATAAATTAAATAGTTATAGGGTTCACCAATCACCACGTTGACTGCATGGAGTTTTAGCTTAAAGCAACACTCTACGCATGGTATTTTACTTAATAGTAAACATATAAATTTTTTTATATAAACTCATGTGCCAGAAAAGTTATGTCACACTAAATTGTGTACAAACAAATTATATATTTAGTTCATATATATGCAACACAAATATATCGGCTAACACAAGGTTTACAAGTCTTTCTTAAAAAAGTGAAATTAGTATTAATATTATATACAAATATCATATATTTGGTTAATCATGTTAAATTATAGTTGGTTAATCTTGTTGGTTAAACATGTTGGTTACTCTTCACCTACCATTATTTATTTGGAAGACTCATATATATTAGGTCTTTCTTTAGATTAATATAGTCTTCATCAATTAATTGTATTCATGAATAATGACATTGATCTTCATCGGACCAACCCCCTCAATTGCTTAGATCTTGATTTTACTTCTATCTTTTATTTCATTTTAGTTAATATTTTGAAAAGATTCATAAAGAGAATTAAATAAAATAAAACTATAAGTTTAGTTGCGTGCTTCAATCACGTATCTGTCAACCAAGATTCTTGTGTCAATAAACCTTGATTCATTGTATTTTTTTAGTTGTTCCTTGTTTAAGCATATAGTATTAGTTATTGTAGTCACTGTATTAATGTAAGTAATGTTTTATTTACATTATTGCTCATGAGAAATAATTTAACAAGTATCTTCATGAGTGTAATGATGGAATTTTAGAGAGAATTCTAGACAAATTGGGATGAAAAAAATCAGTGTATACAATTGAATTATCGAGCTTACTGTTACACAACTTTACTTTATATTGTTTTAAGAGAAAGAGCAGAGAGGGAGTAGAGAGATCTGGTAAAACGGTTGTAGTAAAACTACACGTTTACACAATTACACTTTAGTCTTGATTGTTAAAAATAAACAATCTGATCCCTTTTTCTTCTAAATCTAACAAGCTAAAGTGGGATTAAACTCATTGGCTAAGGAGTAATAATGTAAACAATTATCTTCGAAGCTGTGTGGAGTTCGTTTCTACTTTGAAAATCTTACTGGTAATGATGACCCCCGGGTGACTAGAATGAGGGAATGAAGGCTAGTTTGTAAACAGGTTTTTGGGCCCATTGTGCCCACATGGTGAGACTAGCACTAAGGAGGTAAGGGGGTCATCTTTGGTATGGGTCGGGGATTATAAGGCTTTGGGGCCAGACGATTTCACATCAAATTTTTTTAAAGAAACCCGGGGGATTGTAGGTGAAGAGATGTTTAAGGCCGTTATAGAATTCTTTGGAGTCAGTAAGCTTCTAATTAGGGGATCAATGCCACTACATTGTCTGTGTGCCTAAGTTGGAATGCCCCTAAAAGTGAGTGATTTTCGTCCTATATCTTGTTGCAACGTTATCTACAAGTGTATCTGCAAAATTTTAGCTAATAGAGTGGGGGCTGCCTGGGGGAGTTAGTTGATACCACTCAATCTGCCTTTGTTAGGTAGGAGGATCAATGATAATGTTTTGCTTGCTCAAGAGATTTTTCGAAACTATCACAAGGATGCATGAACCCCTCATTGTGCCTTAAGGTGGATATCAAAGGCGAAGATAGTGTAGATTGGGGATTCTCTTGCAAGTGCTGAATTTATTTGGTTTCCCCATAAGGTGATTACTGGATCTGGGAGTGCATTACCATGCCTGTCTTTTCAGTTGTTATTAATGGAGGAGATTCATGGGTTCTTCCAAGGTGAGAGGGGTCTTGTCAGGGGGACCCACATCCGTATTGTTTACCCTAGTTATGCAAATACTTTATCTAATTATTAGAAGGAGGACACGGGAGAGTGATGGTTTTAGATATCACTTGAGATGTGAGGCTAATCAATTAGTACTTATGCTTTGGGATGACCTTTTTTTCTTATTCTATCATGGGGATCTCTATCGGTTCAGATTTTGCAAGATTCCTTATTGAATTTGGGGAGTTTTTAGGTCTCCACCGCAACCCTCCAAGAGTACCACCTTTATGTGTAAGGTTGATGAGGTGAATAGGGCCATTATCAAGAGCATCATGGGTTTTGATGAAGGGCAGCTGCTAGTTCGTTATCATGGGGTTTCCTTGATCACGACTAGATTACACATAATGATTGTTTGCCTTTACTTGAGAACGTTGAAAAAAGGATTAAAATTTGGAAAAATAGTTTCTCTCCTATGCTGGGTTTTTCAACGTGTACTTTTGTTTTAGCCTCCATGCAAGTGTATATCGAGCTTCAATGTTATCTTACCTCAATTAGTCACCACAGCCACTGAGAGAGAGAAGATGAGAGACTTCTTTGGGCGGGTGGGGACTTGAGTAAGGGTAAAGTGAAGGTAGCCTGGAGAGATGTTTGTTTGCCTAAGATGATGGAAGGTTAGGAATTAAGCCCACGAGACTATGGAATACCTTTTGATGATTTTGCTTTCAGCTTGGCGTAGTTGTAGGGAGAGACTCTCTAGGTTACATGGATCCACACCTATAGGTTGAAAGGTCGTAGTTTTGGAGTATCAAGGTGTCGTGGGATGCTAGCTTGGTGAATGACTTAGACTTAGGGATGTTATTAGGAGTGACCATTGGAAATGGTCAACCATCTCTCTTTGGCATGATGCTTGGCAGCCCTTAGGACCGCTTGATAAAGTTGTGCCTTATAGGACAATCTGTGAAACAAGACTTGGGCGTAGTGCAAAGGTGAGTGATGTTTTAGTTGATGGCCAGTGGGTCAGGTCGGAATGCTTTGGGAGAGATTCCCCATATTGTTAGCCAAGTCCCCCTGTTTTCTCTTGATCATACCTTGGAGACAATTTACTGGAGATCAAAGGACGGAAAGAGAGGTGCCCTTCTAACTAGACAAACTTGGCAAGACATTTCCCCGGTAAGTACCTGAGTTCTTTGGAGCCATTTTGTTTGGAATGACAATTGTATCCTGGGCAATTTTTCAATCTCTGGTTAGTATTGACACCAAATTGCTTACCGAAGACTAGATACTTTCTTGTCGGATCTGAGATGTTGGAGTGTGCTCTTTTTAAGTGCCAATTGGACTCTCACGAATCTACTTGAACCACAGTTTTGCGATCATGGTCATTTACCAGAGTACTCAACGAGATAAATTCTCCTATAATAAGAGTGATGAATCTTATGTCGACACCACCTAGTATAGTGTATTTCTAATTAGCCAACCATCCCTGTACTGATAGCTCTAAATAGGATACGTTAGGCTAGTGTCAAACT